TTTCCCAAAACATAAGATTTGTAAAATAAATTCAATTAACAGATAATTTTAATACCATGTCTATTGTTTGCTTCACAGTATACTCTTAATCAGTCATGGAATATAAAAAGTATTCTGCTGTTTCTCCCTCCAGATTGCTTTCTCTTTATGCATCCTGGATTGATGAGTATTTTCCAACATCAAGAGTCTGTAGTGTCATGGTTTCCAATAACTCTCATAACCAAGGTCAATATGACCCTTTTGAGGGATTTTTAAATCTAACAAAATCTTTAGTAAATTATATACTTTACTTTAACTTACAGAAATTGGAAAAGTTTGAAAACTATTTTTTCCTATCCCTCTCCGGGAAGATTCAGTTCTTAACTCTTCTGAGTTTTATTGGCTAGAAAAAAACACAAAGTTTTGTGAAATGGAAAATGTGTCTAGAGGTAATACTGGTATGGCAAATATGAAAGTTCAAACAAATTTAGTAAAATATATGCTGCAAAAGAAATAAAATAGCCACTCAGGTACAGTAATTCAGGCACACATTTTCCCCTTTAAAGAAACTGGAAAAAAAAAAATACTCTAGGAATTTAAGTACAGCTAGAGCTGTGACGAGAATGTATCCAGATAACAAAAGGTAAATATAAATTACTAAGATACTATAAAAAAGAAATTAAGCCACAAAGTACAAGAAACAGATAATGAAAGAAAACTTCGAAAGAGGAAAGAATGAACAAGAGAGTTTTAAGAGAGGAAGAAAAAAAAGAAGAAAAAACTGTCACTTTTTAAAAAGTATGGTCAACCAAAAGGAAAGACTGTGAACTCAGTAAACAATAATCTCAATTTCAAGGATTCCGGTGAGATACATGGCAATATCAAGTCTTAGAATTCTAATTACACAACACTCTTTGGCTTCCTTTAAAAAGAACAATGTCAAAACATATGATTATGAAAATGATAGTATTTAACTTTAGGTACTTGATAAAAGTAAGTTTATACATACTCTATTACATTACTGAAAATAGCTATAAAAAGAATTTAAAGGAAATAAAGTGTTATATAAATTAAAAACATCAGACAGACTTCTATATGACTTTAAAAGAAGCTAGAGGATAGTTAATAAGACGGGTTTTTAAACACAGAAATGAAGTGAACATCAACCTCAATGTATTAAAAGCAAGATTTCTTACCCACATTTAATGATATTACACAGAAAAAAACTGCAATATACTAAGAAAATTCTGTTGAAGTGTATTTTATCATTAAAATAGCAATTTCCTACTGAAAACATCGAGAGGGACTCATCTATCATTAACTTTTATTTCTTACACTAATCCAACATGAAATCAGATTGGAGCAATTCAACGAGTGTTGTCAAATTAGCCCCATCTGATACTCCATGATCCATGCGAGACAATGCTAATACAATATATCTTGTATTGGCCCTGAATTCTCACAGATAGGTCAAAGATGTCCTAAAGGTTCAGGTGGGAGCAAATCAAGATATTACAATAGATAAGAGAATCCTGAATGAAAAGCAACTGTTGGGGGAAAAAATCTCTAATGAAGAAATGAAGAATCTTTAAAAAAACAAAAAACAAACAAAAAACCCTGAAATCTATAAAAACATGGAGAATGGAGTAGGAGAGATAGGAAATAATGTCTTAAACCAAAAAAGCAGTGAATATGAGGGTTTCAGCTTATCTAAGACCTAGTTCAAGGAAAGAACCTAAAAATGGACTTAGTAAGATGTCACACCCATTCTCACTTCCCACCACGGTTGTATGTTGCTACCCAGACCAGTCTCCTCTCTACTTTTACAGTAACGTATAAAATAAAAACCAGATGAATATCTTATGAAAATTTATGTTTTAATAAGAATATATTCAGCAATGAAAAAACACTTGGTTCAAATGGATAGCTACTGTTAAAATTACATTTAATTTAGTTCTTTCATCATATCTACCCCATATAACAATGAAGAAAAAAAAATGATTCAAGATTACAAAAGACACTAATCTCTGAAGAAAAAATTTTTTAAAATTTTTGTTTTATTTATATTTTATATGTAATATAAATAGTAAGCTTAGCCAATTAAAAATATAATGCATATGTCATAATTTATTTGGCTAATTTACTATAAGATTCAAAAATATATATCTTGATGCTAAGTAGTTTTAAAAGATTAAAAACAACATAAATTGTTTTTCTAAGTAGATCAGTTCACAAATTACATAATGCATAGATTTTAGCATAACCCAAATATATACTTGCCTTGCTAATTAGAACTTGTTGATTCCTTTAAAAAGTTGACCATTACCATCAATCCATTATTAAAGAAGGAAGGGATGGAAGAAGCGAGAGGGAAGGGAAAAAGAGGGAGGAAAGAAGGAAGAAATACGGAAGGAAATAAACATTAAATTATTTCTCATAATTTATAATTTTCAATCATGTCACTGCAATTTTTAAAACATCCTTCAAGGGTAGGAACGTTTTAAGAAACTCAGCCTATTAGGGCTAGAAACCTTAAGATCAACCTGCTTACTGTTGGTAGGAATGCAAACAGGTGCAGTCACTATGGAAAACATTATGGAGGTTCCTCAAAATATTAAAAATAGAAATACTATATGATCCAGGAATTCCACTACTAGGTGTGTACTCAAGGGAAACAAAAACACTAATTCAAAAAGATATATGCACTCCTATGTTTATTGCAGCATTATTTATTTACCCAAGATATGGAAGCAACCCAAGTATTCATCAGTACATGAATGGATGGAGAAGATATAGTATACAGACACACACACACATGCACGCACAAACTAGAATACTATGCAGCCATAAAAAGAATGAAATCTTGCCATCTGTGACAACATGAATGGATTTAGAGAGTACTATGCTAAGTGAATAAGTCAGAGAAAAAGACAAATACCGTATGATTTCACTAATACGTGGAATCTTAAAAACAAAACAACTGAATGAACAAACAAAAAACAGAAAGAGACCCATAAATACAGAGAACAAACTGATGGTTGCCAGACAGGTCGGGGGGTAGGGACAATGGACAAAATAGGTAAATAGTGAGTAGGAGGTACAGGCTTCCAGCTATGGAATGAGGAAGTCACAAGGGAAAAAGGTACAGCACAGGGAATATAGTCAATGGTATTATAATAGCTTTGTACAGTGACTGATAGTAGCCACACTTGTGAACATAGCATAATGTATAGACTTGTCCAGTCACTATGTTGTGAACCTGAAACTAATGTAACATCGTGTTATCAATTTTACTTCAATAATATTTTTAAAGACTTCATTAAAAAAAAAGACACCTGCTTAGTTAAGTGATACCTAGAACATCAATTGCTCATCCTCCACCTCTTTCCCAGGTAACTTTTTTTCCAATTCTCTCCCCGCCTCTCTCCTTTCTCTCTCCTCCTCGTCTTCTCTCCCTGCTACATACACACATACACAATGTGTTTAAATTCAATTATTAATCTAAAATAAGGCAGTCCAGAAGGGACAACATCCAGAGAACAATAAGTGGTAGAGAGAATAAAAACACATGGTAAGTAAGTGTAAGAGCCATGCCATTTATTGGCTATATTGCCAAAACCATTCTTGATCCAGATAAACCACCTGTGTCAGGTCTAGACAGGTATGGCTCCAAAATCTGACAGAGTTTATTTATCTCAGTGATATTACAGGAGAGAGCAAGAGAAGGAAACAATCCCAGTCTCAAATCCAGTGTACAAAGGAACATTTCTATGTGTTTCTGAGGTTTTATATATATCACTGTCCATCTCTACAGAAACCTGTTGGATAAAGCATCTCACTGATAATAAGTTTCCTCAATGCACTTTCCAAATCCACAGGTAGAAGGAGTAAACATCATGCAGAGCCAGGTTGCCCTTAAACATTTACCCTGAACTTTAGTTTCAGTTTGTAGCAAACTCCTATAACTGTGAAAAAATTTTCATTCAAAACTCTTAAGAAAAGTCTTTATAGTTGGTCTGATTTTCCACACCATGTCAGGAAAAAAAAAAAAAAAAAACAGAAACAAGAAAAAAAACAAAACTGGTTTCATTAGGATCCCAAAGTTAACCTGGGATAGATCTAGGTTAAAGTGAATTCCATGGTCCAACCTGTAACAAACTATACTTTAGAAAGCTACTGGATCTTGATCAATTCTGGGGAGAGGGGAGGGAATCAGGGGTTTACCTGACTTGGGAAACTCGCCAAAGGTGTTATTAGATGAATGCATGTATTTGGAAAAGCACAGCAGCTTGCCAGTTGTGCTTTATCACAAAAGTGAATATTCACCCTAGAGCAAACCCAAATATGAAATTTATTTCTAATCAAATGATTAGCAAATCTGTAACTGTGTTCAGTACAACTTTGTTATCTTTTACAACTATGTGATTCACCTGATAAATATTAAGTCCAGGGTGCCTGAGCATCTCAGTCAGTTAGGTGTCTGCCTTCAGCTCAGGTCATGATTCTAGAGTTCTGGGATCAGGCCCCATGTCCTTGGGCTCCTTGCTCAGCAGGGAGTCTGCTTCTCCCTCTCCCTCTGCCCCACCGCCCTCGCTCATGCTCTCTTCTCACCATCTCAAATAAATAAATAAAACCTTTAAATAAGTAAATATTAAGTCCATGAGGAAGAGCTCCACTGTACAAGTTTCATTTTTAAAGTCTGGTCAAAAGTATCCGTTGACAAGCTAAGAAAACAAGCTAAACAAAAGCTCAAATCTATGGTGTCAAATCTATGCTGATTATAAACAGTAATTTAGACAACCTGAGTTATGAAATCACAATGTCTATAATTAAATACTATAGTCTTACTTCATCATACTTTAGCAAAATATTACTGAATGAGTACCACAGAAAAGACAGTATGACAATAAGTATTTCCCAAAACCCAAGCAAAATTTTACTCAGTTATACAGTTTAAATAGCAAACACCAGAACCAAGAAAAGGGGGAAACATATATTACATAGGAAGCCTCATAGCCCACCTTTCTTCTTGACTGGCATTCTTGGGTCTTTCCACTGCCACAGGATCCAAGATCTCTTTTCAGGTCTCAACTTGAATCAGCTGGATTGAGGCCAAGAGCCAGGTAACTGTTGCAAACCACTTCACTGCTCAATTTTGAAATCCAGGCTGTCTTCTCTTCCAGATAGAGGAAAAAATTATGTGTTTTTTTCCACAATTAAACTTTTGACACTGCCCACAGAGTTCAGAGAAAAATAACCTTGAGTTTTTCAATTTTTATAAAATATTTATTCTGTTAAAAAAAACTGAGAAAATTACTGTAAGCATAGAAAATGTTATTAAAACTCCTCTTCAGACATCAACATTTTTGGAATTCAGTGACTAACTCAATTAAGGCACAAACCAAATTTACACAGCTGTCTCATTACTCCATACATGATCAAATTCAAAGATGAACTGGTTGATGATAAAGATCCTCAATTCTTTAAAGAAAAATGTAACCCCCTCCCCAACAACAACAACAAAAAATACTTTTAAAAACCTTTTTGCCTCTGGTCTCTAGAAAGGTGGGTGAGTTTGAACAATTTTCTGGGGCAGAACACAGACTGACTGAAAGGCCCCTTTTTATTTACTGGACCAGAAGTTCCAGATCTCACCCCCTCAGTAAGACAGGATCCAGCTTGTCACTTTCATTTTTTTCTTCTGTGCTCTCCAAGCCCCTCGGGCTTAATCCTTAATGCCCCTCTGATTCTGATCCTCCCATGTATTAACCGAGAGGATTGAAAAGAAGGAAAGCAATCCCTTGGCATGGAGACATTAAAGTGACAGTGCTACTCAATGGGCACTTGATGCAGGATGAGTTGGCGAAGCAGATTTCTTCACACTGGAGTCATTCACATCATGCCATCTCTTCGCATCCGAGCAGCTCCCTAGCCGGCGAGGAAAAACACCGAGACTGTTCAAGAGAAGTCAAACCTTCCCCCAAAGGTGTTTTCTGAGACGATGTAGTAGTATTAGGCATGTGAGCACAAGCTGTGCAAACGGTTCGCGATTTCCTAAATGAGAGTTCTGCTGCTTGGCTTCCACATCCACCCTTTCTCTCAATCTCTCTCCAAACTACCCACCTTCCTTTTGCAGAAAAGACAAGAAATCTCTCTGCTACCGCTGGCCACCCCTGCCCACACCCCGTTCTTATATAGAAGTGCACAGAAATGTCCTGCACCCTCCACGCGATGAAGTGTTTCCTCAGGCAGGAGAAACAGCAGCACTAGAAATTATATAACTCTCGAATTTGGCTTCTCTAAGACATGGAGACTGGAGGGTCGGGGGTTGCTGGTCTGGGAGATACTGCTGGGCACTGAACGTGCACAAAAGGGCGCCAGGCCTCCTCGCAGCGCTCCCACCTCGAAATATCGGCTGGCAAAGGGCTCTTCTTGGGAAGTGGGGGGAATTTTCTCTCTGGTCCCCTTCCAAGCGGGGCGAAAGGATGGAATACGAGGGAACTAGAGACTGGGAGAGGAGTCAGACCGCTGCGGGGGGAGGAGGTACTCGGGGCTGCTCTGGCGGGCGGTTGGGGGCTCAAGGGAGGCGGTGCCCGGGAAGCCGAAGCCTTAACACACGAACCAGGCCAAAGGGGAGAACTCCTTCAAAGAGTGACTGGGCCGGCAGGTCGGCTCCAGCTAACCGAGGTGCCCAGAAGAGAGGAAAGCGCGCAGCAACATCCCTGCGCTCGGACCGCCCCACGCACGCCCTCAGCATGAGTGAAGAGGGAGCTAGGTTAACAAATAGCAGGGTTAGGGAATGTAGGGCTGGCAAGAAGGCGGGCCCACGGCCGTCTGGACCTCCTCGAAGCCAATGAGCGGCCCTCATTTCTGGACGCCACGCCCTATCACAGCCGGGATGGAGGGCGCGGCTTTTGACTGGACTGGGGAGGGCCGGGGCTGCAGGCTAGAGGCGTGAGCCGGCACCACTTCCCGCTCCGGGCGTCCTGGGTCCCCGCCCACCGCTAGTCATGTGAGCCACCAAAATGGCGGCGCTCGGGAGTGAGGCTGGGGCTGACCTGAAGGAAGCAGGTGTGGTGCCGGTGAGAGCCGAGGAAGCGCCCAAGGTAGGCGGAAACCCGGGCCGTATGAGTCGTGATTTCTACAGCCTCAGTATATTAACGGGCTCTTCTGAAATGATGGAATTTTAAAACCGAAAGAGAACAGCCTCTAAGCCCATGCGGGACTCAGTGAAGCCCCCAGTTGTTATGGAAGGAGGCGGAGAGAAAATAGGAGATTGAAAGTCTAGTCCCGATTGCTTGCAGTTTCTTTTCTCTTGTCTCCAGGCCTTTCGCTGGCTTTCAACTTGAAATACTCCCGTGTAGTTTCTTCCACACCTTACCCCACCCCTACCAAACTCTCTTTCAGATATTCCTTTAAACGTCACTACTCTGGGAAACCTTCCCACACTTCTCCTGGCTAGGTTAAGGCTTTTCTCATGTTTTTTGTTTGGTTTGGTTTCATTTTTATGGCACACTAATTCTGCTTTTAAATTAACCTACCTTTTTGTCCTGACCTCGGTCGGGTTATGGATTCCAGAGGACACAACTGCATCTTAATTATCCTAGGTCTTTCAGATACCAGCTGCTGTGTAAATGATGGATATTAAATAAAATTCTGAAAAGCCAGGTAAAATAATACACATAAAAGCAGTACAAAACTACTTTGCAGACTATAAACTTGAATACATACACTCTTACTGGGATAATCGTGGTGACCAGTTGAGTGGCCTTGGATAAGTCAATTTTTAGATAAAATGCTTGTTATAATTGATGGAGGGAGGTGGGTGGGAAATGGGCTAAATAAGTAATGAGTATTAAGGAGGGCACTTCCTATGATGAGCATAGAATGTTAAATGTAACTGATGGATCACTAAATTTTTCTGAAATCAATGTTAGACTCTGTGTTAACTAACTGGAATTTAAATAAAAATTTTGAAAAAAATTAAAATTTAAAAAACTCAGTTATCACAAAGTCTTTACATTTCAGTACTTGTTAAAAAAGTCTATCAAAAAATTACTACTCTCTTTCTCTGCTTTAGTAACAGTGCTTTCCAAAGACTAGGTGCAAGATTAATGTTTGCACTCAGTAAGCATTTGTCCTGTTTCAGTGTTTTAGAATCATAATACTGAGTGTCTGGGTTCCCTCTGTATTGATAGTGTAGACAGGTATAAGGTTGGTACACAGCATTGCCTTAGAGTTTTCTTTGTGGGAAATAAGGGAATTAAAGGAATTGGATGACAGCAAAATAAACATTTATTTTAAATAAACATGTGATAAATTATCATGTTACTGATATCTGCCTTCATAGTATATTAGATGGATTAGATATAGAGTCTCCCTTAGATACTACTATATCTTCCGTTTTCCATTTAGATGTCCAAAAGAGCCAGAAGATTAAACCTAATCCATAAGAAATTATAATTTATCATTTTTTACCTGTCCCCTCAGATATTTTAAAAGAAAAAAATAGTACTAGCCGGAGTCCATTTCTACAATGATGCAGGGCAAGAAGCTTGTCCATTACTACTCATTTATTAATAATGTATGAAAGTTAAAGGAGCCCATACCTTCAGAATGTTGATTTCATGGATGACTTAACCTTTCATTAGTTAGGGTTAAGATTGGTACATATCAGTTATTCAACAAATGAGTATTACGGTGATGTTTAACAATTACAGTGTGTGTCCACTAATTACCAGTGTCAGAATCACTTAGTTTATTAAAATGCAGATTTCTAGACTTCATCCTACTCCTATTGAATCCAGATATCAGGAGGGAGCTCACAAAACTGCATTTCAAATAAACCCCGCATGTGATTCTGGTGCAAACTAAAGGTTGAGAATCACTGATTTATTATCTTCTGAGTTCATTATGCTTATTCCACTCTAATTCTTTTGCCCAGGACTCTTGAAATTTAAGATCTAGTCTGTGCCCTTATTATAAATGTTAAAGTGGAGGTCAGTATAAACTGTGAAGGGCCATAATTTTTTTAATCTATTTGTTGGCTAATCTGGACTCCCATAATGCTAGCATGGCAAAAGATTTAACAAATGTTATTGTTAAGAGTTTTCACAGAGACGCAAGAGTCTTACCCAGAGCAAAAGATTCAGAAAGGATCCTTTCTTAAGATCCAATTTTGTTTTGTTTTCTTTATCACTGTTTTTTACTTTCTTTTAAGGTGCTGCTGTATAAACTGTCGTGGTCCCTTGACATTAGCAACTGTCTATTCAGACATCACACTTGGGATATAGGAACCTTCCCACACTGGAGCCCAGTGCCATGGGTCCAGGTTCCCTGGTGCACTACATATAGTTTCCAGCAAAGGCTGTGCTTCTGCTGCAGGTGCTCCTAGGGAGCTGGATATATAATTTATGTAATCCAGGGTATCCATAAGCATTACCTCTTCCTAGCCTGAAAGAGTGTCCCTCTCTCTAATGTTCTCTCTCACTAAGCGAGGCAATCCCTGCTCTCCTCCTTCTCCAGGAAACTCAGCAAACTCTCCAAAATTATCTCAGGCTTTCATGAGACAGTTGTTAACAAGTGCTCTTGTTTCCTTCTAGCTCTGAAAAAGCTAGAGCAAGAATACAAAGCTTGTCTACCTTTGGGGAAAACTGTAAGAACAACAAAAATTCAGTATCTCAGTAAGTTATCCTTCTACACTAGGTCCTAAGGCAAGTCAACCTTTCTGAACCTTATTTTTCTCATCTATAAAAGTGTAAAAATAGAGATGATCAGTATTCTACCAATTTCACGAAAAGTCATTATCTAGCAGGTAATATGAGCTACTAAATATTGATTGAATCATTGACAAAGTTTGTGAAAGCAGATGACAATTTTACTAGGATCTAAATCGTTTTTAATCTGAACCTAAAATTTATAAGATTTATTATTAATATCATTAGCTATTATGGTTCTGAAATTTTGTGTTTTCCAGGACATCAGAATGGCAACATACACACATGGTCAGCCCAGTCTTTCTCTCGAAGATGCAAAACTCAGAAGACCAATGATCATCGAAATCATAGAAAAGAAAATTGAATATCTTAGAAAAGAAAAGTAAGAGACATACCCAGACTGAAAGTCTCTAACTTTATTTGCACATCTTCTATATTGCCATT